ACTGGCCCGGTCCGCCAGGGGCTTTCTCTGAACAAGCGGCGGACCGGCTTTGAGAACCACTGCTCTATGGAATCATTGGATTGAATAATACATTGTTGTTGTTTTGTTTACCTGCAGCGTCTGCAGGCATGGAGCTCTTCAGCTTCTTGTGCCCGCGGCTAGCCGTTCCCAGCCAATGGGAGCTGCAGGAAGTGGCACCACTTCCTGCAGCTCCCATTGGCTGGGAACGGCAAACCGCAGCCACTGGGAGCTGAGGGGCCCCGTGCCTGTGAACGCTCCAGGTAAACAAAACGTCCAGGCCCGCTAGCGGCTTACCCTAATGTAAACCCAGGAGCCAAAGTTTGCCAACCCCTGAAATATAGGGTCGTCTTATGAAAGGGTCATACAGTTTTTGCTATTTTTATCTATCCATTTTGGGGGGTCGGCTTATAAACGAACGGGCTAATGAACGAGTATATACGGTACTCATCTGCTTAATCTGGCATTTTCATATTACTATTTATAACCTAATCTGAATGTAATAATCCCATGGGCATGAGTTACTAGTTTAGACTTAGCATGTATTGCTTAGATGTGGGTATGAACAAGTTATTTTATATTAAAACTTGAAAGATTCACTATGAAGAGAAGTTTACGGGGCACACATGGTGGTCATCCTTCTGTTTTTGCATTTTTCAGATGCCTCCATTCGAGCCGAAGAGGGGACCTGATCTTATAAACTAAAATCAAATGTTGTTCTCACAGTGAAACTAACATTTTTAATCCCATCAATCTTGGTATTGCTCACTTACATTTGAAATGATCTTTGAAAAAATATTTTCCTGTCTTGACCCTTTAACTATTTTTATTTTAAAGCTTTTTCAATTCATAACATTTTCTCTCCAATGCTGTTCTGCCAGAATTGTTACTGAAAATGATCTTTACCCGCAGTCCCCTTCTCCATATCTATGATCAAAGATATAGTGGCATGGAAATGCTTGCTTTCTGCACTTTCCCATGTTCACTTCTTACAGCTAACTTAATTTGCTAATGACTTGTGAAGTTTTGGATATTAAGCTCTGGACCATATTTTTCCCATACAGTAGATTCTATTCTTTTGTACTTAAAAAAGTTGCTAGTTCTCAGCATATCAAGTGTGGGTTTTTTTACAATGTCTGAGTTAGCATGTGGTGTCATTGATATGAGTTACATGATGTGACCTGACTTATACAACCAGATGTTAACATCACATGACTATATCTAAACATAGTAGTGTATTTGCATATTAAAATCCTCCCCTCCCCCGGCCGCAATTAAATCTTCTGCTTTGAGTCTGATATTCAAGATTGCTCCTAAAATTCTTACAGGTGATTACCTTCAAGTAACCAAATACTTTTGCTGCATATAGATCAGGAGGTATGCCAATGTAAAAAGCTGTGATTCAGACTCATTGTTTATTGAAAAATCTAGAGATGTAGCAAACAATTAAAATGTTTAAATTTCATTAAATACTGCTTTCACTTACTATAATCTGTTATCACTTGGGTACATAAAGTATCTGTATTAAATTATATTTTAATTTCCATACTTATTACAGTTCTTTAATTTGAAAAATATTTTGTTGTGTAGGATATTGTTCTGCAGTGGAAGAGGATGATGTGTGTTAGTTGGGCATTCATGATGTACTATCTAACTGATGAAATAAACATTTATTAGGCAATAAAATGTTTCATAAATTTAAAAATACATAAAATACATCCTATTCTAGGGTCTAGGGCCCAGGATTTCAAAGGTATTTATTTACCCATATGACTTCAATGGGAATTAGGTGCCTAGGCTCATTTGAAAATCGCACTTGACAACTATCTGCATTTTTAGGTACTTAAATATCTTTGAATATTAACCCAAGGTTCTTAAACAATTTCTACAATTACAATACAACTGGGAAATAAAAAATCAACAGTAGTTTTCACATCAAAAAAGTTTCTAACTAATTAAAATGAGCAAAACATCCCCATTCATCATCTTTCCAAAGATCACAACCCCACAAAAACATTCTAAGAAGGGAGATTCCAGAGTCAAGGTGGCACTGGGGAGAGTGATTGGCCAGTAGACCCTTTCTCTTAACGTATGAGGGCTTCCAATTAAATGCTTTTGCTAATAGCAACTGTGGCATATTGCACATAAGAAGATTTGGATCTCAAGTAAATATGTCTCAAAACATTTAGAACTTTATAAATTGAAACCAACTCTTCAAATTCTGCCCAGAAAGCAATAAGTAGCAGTGCAGGTCATGTAGCACAGGTTGTCGTATACTCACTGCAAGATATCCTGCTTGACGAGTGTTCTTCTGCATTGGAGGTCAGGTTTTCAAATGGATTTAAAACGTGTCTCCAGGTACAACTGTGATGATTTGGAGAATCTGCATAATTTATATTCTGTGAGATTATGAACACTGTGTGCCAGACTGCAAACTCCATTTTGAGTGTAAACCAGGTGTTTGCTTTTGCAGTCTTTTACTTCTGTGATGGATAGAAGTTCCAAAGGACAGTAGTACAGGGCTGACACTAGAAGGTTGTTAAACTTCAATGACTACCTATTCAAATTTAGCACCCTTAGACAAAGAGAGGGCTGTCACCCAGAGCTTTTCAAATCTGACCTCCAGGGGGAGGTAAGTAGGCAATGGATCATCTCATCAGGGACTGTGGTCACATGTTGAGGCTGAATAGAATCAGCTAACAGAGGGGACTGCAAGGTTATAAAAAGGGAAGAATCTCCTCTATTTGTTGTCTCTCTTCAGCCATTTTTATTAGCTGAGAGGAACTGCATATACAAATTTGGGGAGCTTTGCCTTCCTGAACACAGATTACCCCCACACACACTCCAGAGGCGTAAAACCCTAATGGGAGCCCAACTGGATCTGTGAAACAGCACATTGTAATAGCTTAATCTCAAGAGTAGACCAGTGTAGCAAGACCCACATTTGGGGGTGGGAGAGAAAGGGTTTCAACCTCCTTATCAGGCACAGATGGAAAAAAATGTGTTGATCCCGGTTACTATCTCAAAAAGCAACAGAAGATCTAACAAGATGCCCAAATGCAAACTCAGAGAGCTGACAGATGCTTTAGATACAGTGAACATTATACTGTTCCATTTATCTTCTAGTGCTTCCCCCAATTCACCAACATTTCTTTTTGTTAGAATTGTTAATGTATGAAGGGAATGCAAAAGGTGTAATATTTCTATGTGAGTAAAGTATTTGGTATGGTCTCTAAATTTTAATTGAAAATTAATTCAGATTGGCTTGGAGAACATCATGTGCTGAAAACTGGCAAAATAAGAAAAATAACAAAAAAACCCAATGTATTGAGTTGGGGAGAGGTGTGTACTAAGGGTTCAACATGGATTACAGACAGGTCTGTTTAATATTTTAATTTATGATATAGGAGTAGTAGTAAATAGCATGACAGTGAAATTTGAAAGTAATTGTGAACACTTGCCATTAGTGAGAAATAATGCAAAGTAACCCAGAGAATTCAGAACAATGTACAGAAAATAACAAAATAAGATTCAATTTAGAAAAATGCAAGCTAATGCAATAATGTGGTTTATAATACTTCAAAATGTATAATTATTTAAAGGAAGAAAATTGGGAAGCAGTAATAGTAAGATCTAGGGGTGATAGTGGACAGTAAACTAAATATGAATTCACTGAACATTATGGCACTTAAAAAAAAAATGTATTTTTGTGCCGTATAATAGTCCTTTGTGACTGGGTGCCTGGATGGGCCACATTGAGAGTGCCTTACTCAGGGCAGACTGCAAGAAATAGGGCAGACAATCCGCAAAAACTGGTGGTTTATTTTATATTTAGATTCACAAAGCCAGTAACAAAACAGCTGCTCTGTAATACCACACTGGTTACCAAGAAGTCAAACACAGTCCCCTTTAGGCATCCCATATAGTGAGAGGTTACTGAAAATCTGATTCACCAGTCCCAAAGGACTAGACACTTATCCCCAGGTCAATGAGTCTCAGATCTTACCCAATAATCACGCTGATGCCAATCCTTTTGTAACTAAAACTAAAGGTTTAATAATAAATGGAAAAAAGAGAGTTGCAAACAGTTAAAAGACATACATACATAAATATACATACAAGTGACTTCTAGTGTTCATAGTTCAGGATCACAGCAGTAATAGAATAAATAGATTCTCTGGAATCATCCCAACAAGTCAGAATTCAAAGGCAGCTTAGATGTAAAGTCTGTTAAGGTCTTTCCAAGCATTTTCCAGGTTACTCCAAATGAATGTTTGAAAGATCTCCATCTTACGACTTATACTTCCCCTGTTCAAAGTTTAAGCAGACTAGAGATGAAAGAATCAGGCCTGAAGCTTTCCTTTATAAGTCTTCTAGAAGGCTGACAAGACTCCTTACAGAAACTGTCATAGCAAGGCCTTTCCCTGAGTTAAAAAATAGGTAATAAAAATAGTCACGGGGTTTGAGGGATTAAATTGAGGTAAGTCATAAAGTTCTGATCCAGAGAGCTACTGACCACCCCAACTCCTTTTAAGGCAAAAGAGAATCAAAATTTAAAACATCTTCGTCACGCAACTACAAAGGCATTAGGGTAATAGATATAATAATAACAACAACAACAAAAAAGACAATAGGTATTCAGATATTTAAAGGGTATAAATATAAAGAATGGAGAAGTATTTAGTATGGCACAAGGAGAACTAATAGGAAGAAATGGAAAACTTAAGCTGACTATTAGGAATGACTTTTTAGCACTGAATTGAGGTGGGCAGGAAGATAGTATCTAAAGACAAGTGATAGAAACTCTGTTGCTTGAGACTTTTAAATCTAGTTTGCACAAAACATCAGAAAATATGAGGAACAATCTTGTACTAGGAAAGAGGTGTACTTGGTTGACTGGATGTTGCATCTCAATTTATGTGATTCTGTTAACCCCATGTAGTTATTGTATAATATTTGTTACATTTTTTTTTTTTAAACAGGAGAAACATAAGCTTGAGTTTGAAGACATGAGGAAAGCTGGACATGAAGCCCTGACTATTATTGTGGAAGAATTTAAGGTAAATTGCCCCATCGGGACAGTTAATTTGATATTGTTTTTAGTTTCATATTTATATTTAGATAATTAGGACCTTACCCAGTAATTCCTTATTGTAGGTGGTGCTGGTAGTATTGCCTATTATTAAGGTTACGCAACTCTTCCCATTATAAGACCCTGTTTAAGTTGCTTATAACTTTGCCAAACTTTGACCATTTGGTTGAAATTTTCCATGTCTGCCTCAGGCTGATTTATTTTTTAAACATTTCAGCCAAAATGGTTCAACCATTTCTGACCATGAGGCTAAAGAAAAATACCGTGTTTTGCCAATTGTTAAAAAAAATTCTGGAAACCCTTTTTTTTTTTTTTTTAAATAGCTCTAATGCACCTATGCTATGGAGCAGAGACTTGAAATGAGTGTGGCCTTTGTATCAGGGATGCATATGCCTTTTGCTGACTCATGAAAAATCTGCCCAAATTTGGCCAAGTTACAAGCTTTTGAAAAATTGTAGTTCTCATATGCTCAGTCGGGACTTCATTTGTAGCAGCTAAAATCTCTGAAGATTCTGCCTTCATTGACCAAGGTCGAGCTCTCCACTCCTAGTGCTGACGAGACTGCATATGTGCTATCTCCACAGAGCGACTGAGCATGATCTCTGCAGCTAGGTGAAGCTGGATTTTCCCTTTTAATGGCTACTCCCATTCAATTGCCACTCTAGGCCAGGGTGGATCCAGGCACTGGAACTAAGAGCCTCTCTCTTCTGTGTTGTCAATGACCCCTATGCTGGCTTCTAGGCAGCGTGGAGGAGGATGCGGTCTTATTCAAATGCACAGGGGACAAAAGCTGTATAAGAGGGGAGGGAAAGGAATAAATTGGAACAAGTAATCTGGTGAAGGTGGGGAAGAAACTGGGACAGGTTGGGCAAGAAGACTGTTACTTAGGGGTGGGGAGTCTGGGACTGAGAGCTGTATTGAGGGAAATGAGACGGAGGGGCTGGCAGCCAATTGGCTGAGGGTGGGGAACCCTGGGATTGGAATTAGCAAAAAGAGGGGAAACTGGCACTGGTTAGATAAAGACACTAGGACTAGCAACCAGTGTGGGGGAAAATGGAGGTGGGGAGACAGATCTGACAAGGAGCTGGGATACAGGGGGGAAAAATGGGACTGGCTGAGCAAAGGGCTTGGGACGGATGAGTGAGACTGAGGCGAAGTCTCAGTGGGGGGAGAAACTGAGTTTGGTTGAGGAGGCTGGGAAGGGAGACTAGGAATCGCTGTTGGTTGGGGGAGGGGAGAGACTGATTGGATGAGGAGCCAGGATGGGAGAATTGAGACTGGCTGGGCAAAGAGATTGAGATTGGATGTGGTGAGGGGGATAGAATGGGAATGGAGGAGAAATTGGGACTTGGACAGTGAGCCCAGTGGGGTGACACTAGGACTTGCTGGGCAAAGAAACTGTGACAAGGAACTAGGGGTGGGGAAGAGACAGGACTGGGACAATGCAGAAGGAGGTCAGGCTTGTGGGGAATGGGCAGAAGTTTTTACCCACTAGAGTACACTTCTCTCCAGAGTCTGGAGTGGAATCCAAGATTACTGAGTCACAACATTCCTCTGATGTCATCAAATATCTGTGAAACCCACTGGCAAAGTGCGTGTCTCACCGCCTCTAATGCTACTCCACATTAAGGATGACAATCTACTACTCACCATCAGTTGTTCTGTTAGCTCAAGTGCTAGAGGTGGTGAAGCTAAAGGGTCCAACTCTACCGATGAACCATGTAGATGTTACTCTGGTGCCACATGATAGAATTTGTTTTATTAGTTATTTTTTCTAAAAACCTAGAAATATCTTTATACATGTGGTATTTTAAGCTGTTGAGCAGCAAGTAATTTTATTCTAAACATTTATAATTTAGAGAAACAAAAAATGATAGTCCAAATCTTAATAATTTTCTCTCTTAATCCCAATTCAGGGATGTCACTCCCACTGTTTGTCACCTGGTTTTTTTTTGCCTGGCCTTAAGGGGACACCACAGTTAAAAACAAGTAAAATTATCACATCTATTAAGTCTTTCTTTCTTTCTTTCTTGTTGGGGAGGAGTGTTGGGCTAGTGGTTACTTCTTGATGCTATGTTGTTGCTCCTTTGTTCTTCTTGGGGTTGTCTGGTTGCTGCTGGGTTTTTTTTTGTGTTTGTTTGTAGAGATGCTGAGCAGGCCGAGCTTAGGAGACTATTGTGAGGAGAGTGTTACTGCTTGCTTGTGCAGTTCAGATAGATTTATACTTTTCTCTTTCCATAATTTCACTAAAGAAGGAAGGCATGCCTCTTTCAGGGTTTGCTAGATTCAGATATCAGCCACTGCCTTTCATTGGCTAAACACCTTTATGGAATTGTCTTGGTAGTATCTCCAGCTCATGATTATGCAGTCTCCTAACATATATGCACCAGGAGTCTAATTACTTTTATCTTTGTGGCGGGAAATTCTCAGAACATCCTTAAAGTTACTTTGAACTGTTTCTTTTATTTAGTCCATTTTCTGAAATATTCTGTCTCAAATGAGTCCAAAATCTCCTTATTTTCTCTGTAAAAGTCTTTCATCACTCAAAATAGTCTTTTTTTTTTTAAACTTAAATAATTCTTAGAGAGTTTGTAAACTTTAATAGTTCTCAAATAAGTTATTGTCCTTTGTTCTTACCTTTCCTTGGAAAAGAAACTTTTGCTTTTGAGTTTGGTTAAGGAGTTAGTTATCTGGTAATGGTTAAGCAACTCCCAATTAATATAAATATTTCTGTACACAGATGGCTTCTTACATTAGTAATCGGTTATAGCATCAAATGATCTTGCTATGTTTGTACATATAAAAGTAGTAACATGTTTTAACAGTCTTATCAAGCAATTATATGAAGGCTTGCATTTAGATACAACACATTTGCAAGTATACATTTCCAAAGAAGGTTATTCCCTCCTAAACATTTGAGGAACAACTGGGTTTTCACCTACAAGTGAAAATGAGTTAAAAGTAATTAATATCTGTTGTAAAACATTTTCCAGTCATAACTGTTCTTCCTTAACAATTGTAGAATGAAGACTTCAGAGTTCTTATTCTTATTAAAACTAATTTCTTTTATAATTCTAGAATCCTTTTGTGTGGGTTTAAACTGTGGACTTTTTTTTTTTTTTTTGCAAGGGGGAGGGGTGAAAAGAACCCCACTTTAATGACTTAATTTATAGCTCAGATAACATCCTAAGCATCACTTCTTCGAGTGATGTCCCTGTGGGTGCTCCACTCTAGCTGTCGGTGCGTCCCTGCGCCAGAGATTTCTCGCAGCAGTAGTTGGCCGGGGGAAGAGCGCGCACAGGAGTCGTCTCGTGCAGCTGTTCGCACCTCCTATAGTGCGCGCCCCCCACGACCATCCCCCCAGTTTCTTCTCAACCATCCTCTGCTGCAGACTGAGCTCTCTTTGATACTTTCTGAACAAACAAAACAAACAAACAAAAAAACCCAACAAAGTTACAAAGGAACTTCTTTTTAATCTATATTTAGTTACGTTGTTTAGTTAGTCTTAGTCTATACATAGTTACATAGTTTCCTTAGAGGTTTTTCTTTATTTAAAAAAAAAAAAAAAAAAAAAAGAAAGGGGAAAAAAAAGAAAGAAAGAAACCGACTGGCGAAGAAGAAGGAGGAGGCTTTTTCTCCCCTTAACTCCCCATTTGGGAACAGTTTCTACGGTTTACCTTTACAATTAACTCCCACCTGAGAGGCGGTAGAGGCTTAACTATAATCATGCCTGGCTCAACAGGATTTAAAAAGTGTGACTCCTGCTGTGAACTGATGCTGGTCTCTGACGGTCACACATCCTGCATTCGCTGTCTGGGAGAAACTCGTATCTCCCAGAAATGCTCACATTGCACCAACTTAACATCAAGGGCAAGATGTGACAGGGATCTCCCCTTGAAAATGCTTCTGCTGGAGAAATCCCTCCAACCTCTGCAAGAGATGTTCTCTGGGGAGTCTCAAAGACCGAGATCCCTGAGCTCTGATAAGGCCCCGACTTCCAAAACTGTCAGGAAATGAGCCTCGACCTCTCCAGCAAGGGTTTCTCAGAAAAAGAGAGCTTCCCCAGTGAGGTCGTTACCCTCAGTGCTGCACTCATCCAGAGTGAGCACTTACGAGGCACCGGGCTCCTCCGGCACCATTCCTCAGCGGACCCCTGCTGAGCCCCAATGTGCAGCACTGGAGTTGAAACATCAAGTCTCCTCCATGGTACCGATGACTCCGATGCAGAGCATGGCACAGGCAGCGGCACCGCGATCAATGCTGCCGCCACCAGTACCGACCCAAGACTTGATGCCGTCTAACAAGCCAAACCCAGCACCGGTCAGCGCTCCAACGGTCGACCGCAACCCCAAGGCGGGACCAGCACAACTCCTGCGTCCTGCTGACATAGCAGTTTCTTCGTCACCGCAGTCACCACTGCTCGGCACCGAACATTCCCCGAGCTACCTAGCATAGTACCATCCTTCATCTCCTGAACCACCCTCCATGCATAGTGGGAAGGAAGGAGACATGCAGGACACCTGCTTCTCCTCTCAACATTCATCCCTGTCACAGTTGAGACCTACATGGAATGCTGTGAAGCCGAAGCCCCATCCCTCAGAGCATTCACAGCCCTGATATGCACAGCACTGGCCTTACCACCTTACCTCATGCAATGGCCACAATGGGGTCCTTGGCCCACATACCAGAACCCCTATTCTGGTCCCCCTTCCCCAGCAACAAGAGGTTCCAGAGTACACCTATCATTACCACACAGAGAAACCTCTGACCCCCTGAGACCGAGATAGAAGAGGAAGAGATACTATCTCAGGCAGACCTGGATGATTCACCACCTGCCCCACACTCATCTTCTACACCAGACGAAGCAGTGACGCCGTCTACCCCTACGACACCAGATGACCTGGAACAGTTCCAAGAACTCTTCAAAAGAGTAGCAAACAACCAAGAAATTGCCTTACATGAGGTGCA